TTATTGAAGTAACCTCTTCAGTCTCTAGGGTGCCTGGGAGGCCATGGGTTATAACTAACCTAGGATGCAGAGCCCTAAGCAGAGAATCCTGTCTTTCCTTGTGGGGATAGTATAATTCAGACTTCCTCGATAGATATGCTTAGAACTTCCTTTATTCCATCTTTCCCCCTCTGTAGTTCCAGAACTGACTGGTGCTCAGGAACATGCTGGTAAGTGCCTAGATCAAGGCAAGCAGTAGCCTTGGTATATTGGGTCCCTGTCCCCTACCACAATCTCAGTGAAATCCCTCTGCCTTCGATGGGGAGAACCTTGAGAGAAGCCTACAGATCCCCAGCCAGGTGTTCTTATTCTTCCTGCAGTTTCCGGAATTCTGGTCTAGCAACTGCTTACCCCAACCTCAACTTCTCTGACATGAAGAGTGTGAGATTTGGAAACAAAACATACCTACTGCCTGACGGTCCCCGAAGATTCTAAAGTTACATCATCACCCTGGATACTCCTAGCCTTGACTCCAGCTGCTGTCACTGGGAGGTGGAGTTTGGGAGTGTGCAAAGTACTGGCAAGCAGAAAGTGAAATATAACTCTATGGACCAGGCTGGTCTCAGACTCACACAGAGATCCACCTGCCTCTGCCTCCCAAGAGCTGGGATTAAAAGGTGTGCACTACCACTGAACAGCTTAGTTCTCACTTTTACCTCTCTGGGTTTTGAAGGTGATGCCTTTAAAGGCAGCACATTTAGCTCTCCATTGCATGTATTGTATCTCCAACACTCTTCCTCCATCTCGAGGCCCAATCATGGCCCAGAGACCCTTATATTCTAATAAATCTCATACCTGAAGGGAATTATGTATCAGCTTCCTTTTAGGCAGACTGCTGCTATTCTTATCATTACAAAATACTGTTTTGTAACTTGCCTTTTAATTTATTCTATTTATTGGTTGTATTGTATTGTACTACATTAACATATAATGATTTAACCATAGCTTTGAAGGTAGGCTGTACATATTTTACTGGGTAACAATATTAATTTTGTGTGTGTGCATGAACGCATATGGTGTGTGCCCGTCTGCATGATGGTGTACATGTGTGTGTAAATGTGCATGTATGTGGCATATGGAGAGCAGAGATCAACCTCAGATCATTCCTCAGATGCCATCCTTTTTTTGATTTTCTGCACAGGATCTCTCGCTAGCCTGAAACTGGCTAAGCAGAATAGGATGGCTGCCTTGCAAGCCCCAGGGAATCCCCTATGTCTGTCTCCCCAGCACTGGGATTATGTCTGGCTTTTTTTAAAACAACAACAACACACACATACATGTTTTCTACTGTTTACTCATTCTGTTGCCAGTTTTCATACTCTGTATTTTAAGCCATGGTTGAGTGAGTTGGCTATTAGTGTTGGCACATTTAAAAAGAAAAAGTTCGACATCCTGCTGGAGGCTGTCCTTTCATTCCTGGAGGTGTGGGGCTGTGACAGTCAGCCCTAACCTGATGGCACTATGTTTTTGCTTAACCAGAAATGAACTGCTCTATTCTTGTCATTGGAGTGCTCGGATCTGAGCAATAATTTACACATGTCCCCTGTGATGACTAATGAAACTTAATATGGAGCCGGGCATCCCTTATGGGCCCTTGACCTTTTGCTCTGGAATGCCTGGGAGATCCTAGTGGTTTTCGGATGAGATAAGAAAAGGATAATAGGCCAGGCGGTGGTGGCACACACCTTTAATCCCAGCACTTGGAAGACAGAAACAGGCGGTCTCTGAGTTCGAGGCCAGCCTGGACTACAAAGTGAGTTCCAGGACAGCCAGGGCTACACAGAGAAACCCAGGTCTTGAAAAAACAAACAAACAGAATGTGATAATGGGCTGTGAGGTATTAACAGCTGCTATTGCTTCTGTAAACCCTGCTTATCGCTATGGGAAAGGGGCGGAATGGTCTCTTTATTACTATATAGTAAAGCAATTTTCCTGCCCAGCTGTGGATTCCATGGATATTTGTAATGCATACCTTTGTGATGCCTGCCTTAAAAACCCCACCCTAATCCCTTTAAGTCGGCAGTCCTTCTGCTAGCAGTGAGAATAAATTCATTTCATCTGAATTTGAGTTGAGTCTGAGTCTTTGGTTTCTCCCCGTGGATTCGAACGCCACAACAGAGGAAAGCAACCAGTGCCCATAGATTGTCCTAAACTTCCTCAGTATTTCTCCGGGAATAAACTGAGTACGGAAAGAGTGAAGAAAGAGCAGAGTTGGTGGGTCGCACTTGTTTTCCTTGCACTCAGGAGGCTGAGGCAGGAGACCGCCATGAGTTCCAGGTCAGAAAGTCTGTGAGAGGCCAAAAATGAGTAGGGAAATGGAAACTCTCTTTTAAAAATACAATGACAATGCAGAGGTTAGTAAACTGGAACCTAAGCACAGCCCGGCACGCAGGCTCCGCTGAGAGCGTCCAGGAGGGGCGAACACCAGCACCGGACACACCCAGGGCGCATGCCAGGAGGTCCCGAACCCTCGGGAATGCTGCAAAGGAAACCCAGGCCGACGTGGTGTGGCCAACTTCCCGTAGCGTCTCCGCTTGTCCCTCGCCCACCCGGCCACCAGGTGCTTTCCCGGGAACAGTTTGGAGGGAACTACATTTCCCAGCGAGCACTGGACACTAGATTGGCCACTCATGGCGACGTGCGCGCCCGCCAGGGAGGACCACTTCTTGACTCCGAAGTGAGCCACAGAGAGTAGTTCCCGCCTGCCCGGCCTCCCTCGGGCCCTAAGAGCTCCATCAGGCAGTCTTCAACCCAGGCTTCCACACCGGAAGTGCCTCACCGAAAGTGGTCCCACAGAAGCAGAAACATCCGGCCTCCCAGAAGGAACTAGTTTTCAATGTCCTCTCAGCGGAAGGCGGCAAGTTCCAAAAGGTGGCTGACAATCTTTGAGGGTAGTCAGAGGGACGAGGCGAGAGATCGGCCTCTAGCGCCTGGCTTTCTGGGTCATTTCCGGAACCCAGGTCTTATCGCCGGGAACTGAGGGCGGTTTGGACAAACAGCCAGGTTGGGGCGGCTGATGGGTGAGCATCATCCCTTACTGAGACGCTAGAGCAGCTAGGGTACCACGTGCGCCCCCAAAGAGTGCCACGGTTGACTCTCGGCTGAACAATGGACCGAGTGTCCAGCAGAGTCACCGAGTTTTCACTAACCACAGCTTTCTCGTTCTCCAGTGCAAACTTGTCCTTTGGTAAAGCTTCTTTCCAGAGGAGTCCAGCAGAAACGGGGACAGTGTTTCTGTGTTTTAAAGCTGACTCGAAGGTGCATTTTGTTTTCCACGCACTGTTTGCATTGCCTTATGCTCTCGCGGCCTTCCCTTTCAGCCAAACTGCATAGAGTACATTTTTTTGAAGTAAGCTTCCGTGGGTATTTCTCTTCTGTTTTTGTTTTGTTTTGTTTTTTGTTTTTTCTTCCTGGCTTCTCAGCCTAGCTGTCCTGTCTGTGCGGCTCCTGTATGGGGTTTCTAGGTCCCTTCACCAATCTTTCCCTTAACTGGGTCTAAGTCTTTCTTAAGCAGCAGAGCTGCCAAGGAATCTCAGTTATTAAACAGAAAGGGGCCTCTTGTTCTTTCAGGCATGGATGGTCTTTGAGGATTTGAATGTATATCACTCCCAAGAAGAATGTGTGAGCACAGATCATGCTCAGCAACCCAACTCAGAGAAGGAAAACAGTAGTCATGTTGGGGAGATGATGTCACTGGGTAAGAAATGCTTTGTGTTCAGAGCGTGTACTCTAGCGAGAGCTGGGTCTCATTTTGTAGCCCTGGCTTGTTTGGAATTCACTAGATAGAACAGACTGATAGAAAACCTGGGACAATTTTCCTATCTCTACTTCCAAGTACTAACATTATAGGTGTATACTACCGTGCGCAGCCTGCAAGTCTGTTTTTCGTCTTTGGAGTGGTTGAAGAAGTACTCGCACCTAATAAAGTACAAGTACACAGTCTTGTTTTTCTTCCATCTCATTTAATAGTTTCACCACAGACTTGCAGCTACAGGTGACTATTTTCCCTATACTTGGAGGCACTAATGGAACAGAGGACTTTTTTTTTTTTCAAGGCCTTTTTTTTTTTTTTTTTTTTTGGTTTTTCGAGACAGGGTTTCTCTGTGTAGCTTTGTGCCTCTCCTGGAACTCACTTGGTAGCCCAGGCTGGCCTCGAACTCACAGAGATCCACCTGGCTCTGCCTCCCGAGTGCTGGGATTAAAGGCGTGCGCCACCACCGCCCGGCGGAACAGAGGACTTTTATGAGACTTAATAATTGACTTTTAATTTGGTATAATTCCTTTGATGGTAGCAGTAAGATTTTTTTTTTTTAATGGAGTTTGACAATCTGACCTGAAATGTAGTCGTGGGGGGCGGGGGGCGCGGGCGGGAATTGTTCTGTTAACCAGGGATCTAGAAAGAAGGAAGAACAGAGCAGGAGAGGTCCCAGCCCTGTGTGACAGCGACAGTCAGTGTTGTGTCACTTTAACAAGATGACAGAGAGAAAAGGGGGTTTTTCCCTTGAGATGGGATCTCTGTAGCTCAGGCAGGCCTCAGGTTCACTGTGTGGGCAAGGATGACCCTGAGCTCCTCATCCCCCTGCCTCTCACCTGAGTACTGAGAGTACAGGAAGTGTTAGCATGCTTGCTTTGTGTGGTGCTAGAAACGGAACCCAGGCCTCTGTGCAACTGAGGCAGGCACTCTTACCAACTGAGCTACATCCCCAGCCCCTGAAAAAATTTTAGACCAAAAGAGGAAAAACAAATACAAATTGAATAATTTTTTTAGAGAACACTATCAGAACCTCATGTGCATTTATGATGAGGGCTAGGTGTGTTGCCTGTAATCACAGCACTCAGGAGGCAGAGGCGGGCAGATCTCTGTGAAGTGGAGGCTAGCCTAAACTACATAGCAAGTTTCAGGCCAGCCATGGTTACATTGTGAGACCCTTTCAAACAGAATAAAACAAAAAAGAAAAACAAGCACTGGGTCCCGCCCTCTCAGCTCTAGGCTCTTCCTGGTCCCCGGAAACTGCCCTGGTCGGTCCCGGTCGGGTCCACTCCGCCTGGGGAGCTGGTTACGACTGCTGCAAGCGGGTTGTTTGCTTGTTCTGTGAGCCACAGCGTCGGGCCATGGAGGGGGACGGCCCCGCCACCGCCGCCGCCACGGTCCCGCAGTACCAGCCGGCCTGTCCTACGCGGGACGCGTGTGTCTACAGCAGCTGCTATTGTGAGGAAAATATTTGGAAACTCTGTGAATACATCAAAACCCACGACCAGTATCCCTTGGAAGAGTGTTCCGCTGTCTTCATATCAAATGAGAGGAAGATGGATTATCATGTCGTTCTGCTTCATGTGTCAAGTGAAGGACAGAGCTTCATTTATGACCTTGATACTATTTTGCCATTTCCCTGCCCTTTCGACATTTACGTAGAAGATGCCCTTAAGTCTGATGATGACATTCATCCACAGTTTAGGAGGAAATTTAGAGTGGTCCGTGCTGATTCCTACTTGAAGAACTTTGCTTCTGACCGGTCTCACATGAAAGATTCCAGTGGGAACTGGAGAGAGCCTCCTCCAGCGTACCCCTGCATTGAAACTGGTGACTCCAAAATGAACCTGAATGACTTCATCAGCATGGATCCCGACATAGGATGGGGAGCTGTCTACACGTTACCTGAGTTTGTACATCGGTTCAGCAGTAAAAGCTGCTGAGCCTGAGGCTAGCATGTGGAACTGGAAAAGTTCTAGGATATGAATAAGCCATCCTTGCATTGAAGAGAACAGCATGGTACAGGTGGTTTGGAGGTATATTTTTTCAATTAAATTTGAGTGGAAACATTAATGAACACAAATATAAATGAATGTCCCCTCCCCGCTTTTTTTTAGCTTGGGAATCTATCCTGGAGTTCTATCTCCAACCCTAAATCAGTCAGTCCCCAGTCTCAGACATAGACAGACAAGTAAAATAAAAACTTTCTTATTAATGATATGCCACACACGGTATAGAGTTGCTAAGATATTCCCATGACTTATGTGTTTAGATATATGATGACCTAGGCCAGCAATTG